TCTCTCTCTCTCTCTCTCTCGCTCTCTCTCTCTCTCTCTCTCTCTCTCTCTCGACCCGGTGACTCATCGCTACGCCCTTGCTGGCAGCATTGACATTTCCAGAGAGACATGTTCCACAGAGTAACGATAAGAATAAGATACTGAGCACAGAGTCAGATACAATCTTTCAGATGGCCACAGTCAACGACTCAGATACCATATAAACGAAAAGCCATTTCAAATTATAGCTGTAAGTATGACAAGTGACTTCACGCCTACACTACAGACGTGGGCACAGCACTATAAGAACTAATGAAATAGTGACTAGTGGTCTGAGTCATGGAACACACTGAGTTGTTGCCACAAATCACATTGCGCCGTGAAAATGTTAGGACAAAGCTAACTCGGAACATTACAAGGCGTTGAAGGTACAAACAATAATGCTAAACAGACACTCGTAAAAACACCCCCACACACATGCACGTGCACAGCCACATATGCACGCACACACTTACAAACACTTGCACTCAGCAAAGACAATACTACTTCTGCCCACAGTCGACACATTATTCTAAAAACCCATTTGTTTGCACCCGAGACGGTCAGAGAACGTAGTATAAGAACATAACATAGCTTGCACCCTTTATCATTTCCCCATGTCTAAGATTTTCACAGCCCGCGGCAACGTTGTGCGGTTTGGTGCGGGCGGGACGGGGCGGGGTTGTCTTTGCCATCAGAGCCACCCTACATACAACATACCGACAATCGTAACCGTGGCTAATTATAGCTCTGACCTTCTGACGGGTACGGAACGAGTCTCGGTGCCATATTATAATGCTGCAGTTACTACAACGACAAGGTATCTCGCTACCGTATTTCCCATTACCCATCTCTATTGAGGTCGAGAAAAAGAGTGTTGAGGGGAAAGCAAACAAAACAAAAAAAAAGAAAGAAAATGAATGACCATCAGAGCCTGAAACAACTTGCATATTATATTTCTCAAAAGATGCTAAATCCGCACAATAATGCAAACTCAGGAAAAGCAAGGCATTGAACAACGTCTCTCTCTCTCTCTCTCTCTCTCTCTCTATCTATCTCTCTCTCTCTCTCTCTTTCTCTCTCTCTCTCTCTCTCTCACGTATAACACTCGCGCAACCAACATACAGGAGAGTACACCACACACACACACACACACACACACACACACACAC